GAGGAAGGCTGCTAGGCTTTATCAGGAAAACCACTCCCCATGCACACGCGCAGAGCCCATATTTTCATCGGCCTAAAGGAGCAGCTGCCTAACTTGGCCACATTTCAGGCAAGGTGCTTTTAAATGGCCCACCCTGGGTGGAGGTTCTTGCACTCAACACTTCAAGTCCTTTGATATGTAACACTGAAATCATGTAGAAAAGCGTTATTCCCAAGCATTACTAACCACTTCTAAAATAGTCTCTGTTGTTTAGATTCTTCCTTCCTTTCCTCACCCTCTGCTGTTTTTCTCTTAGCTTCAAGTGGAGCCAGAGGTAACAGAGGGACTGACTTGCTGGTTTTCCACCAATGTAAACAACCCCCGATTTGGGGGGCAACGCTGCCGTCTGGTTTGTACATGATGCAGAGCCAGCAGGGGGCGCTCATCCCCCAGACGACTCTTCCTTAGCGCCTTACAGATTACAGCGGGCCACAGGCCGCATCTCAGATACAAAGGGATCTTGCAGCCTTTTGGTCATCATCTCGGGTTGCAGTCAACAGACCTGGGCCGCAATCCTGTTTCCAATGACAGCTGACGGGCTACCACGGGGCACGCTGTGTCCTGGGATTAAATAAAATGATGCACGGTGTTGCGGTCGCCGCAACCGTCCTGCAGGTCGACTGGTGTTAGCGCCAGCAGGGACAGGCGAGTCGCGACGAAGTCTTCAGTGGTGGCGATGCGCATGTACGTCGTAAACTGAAGAGTGATTTTCCAGAACGGCTGGTACCAGGGAGGCCACCCTAGCCTGGGGACTAAGCGAACCAGGTCCTCCTCTTGCCCTTGTTGCTGCACAAACGTGTGTTCGAGCCCCGGCCGCGGACTAGCTTAGACAGGCCATTTCTCCAGGCCTCTTCCATAAAAAGGAATAGAATTACCTACCTCATGGGGCTGTGACAAAGATGAAAGAGATCACTAATGAAAACTAGCACAGCACCCAGCTCATTAATTTATTTGTTTGGCGTTTGTCACCATTACCTAATAAGCTCGCTGACTCCAAAGAGCCAAAGCCTTTGGAAGCAGGTAGGGGGAAATGTGTGTCTGTGACTGTATGGAGACAAAGATTTGGAGAAAACAAACACAAAGTTGAAATGGTTTGGGGACCTTTAACTAGTTGTCCCTTTGCTGGCTTCCTTATAAAATTAACAAGCTTAAGGTCTGATGTTGTATTTTAAATACTGTATATCCAGCTTTGTTAAAAGGTAGCAGTTGAATTTACTTTAGATGGCTTTAAGTTCTCCTGTCGTTGGAAAAAAATAGAGTAAAATTAAAGTCTGAGAAGCCACAGAAAGTCTGAGAACCAAAGAACCCATCCATAAGCTCCAAGTTTTTCCGTGTGACCTCGGTCCTGAAGTGCCATTACACACTCATTGTATCAGCACCCCGTGTTTGCAAAATAAAGCACACATTGTGCGATTTGAGAAGCTGGTGCTTGAGACACTGTCACAGTGCTTTAAATAATTTTGTGAATTATTAATTTCAATGAATCCCATTTCAATTAATCACCTTTTTCTCCCAAGGTCCCCTCACTTCCTTCTTCCAGGAGAACCATCCTTCAAACCCTCACATTTCTACCGACATAAATTCATATGCTATTATTCACAATCCCCCATGTATTCATTTGTATCCATTAAATTCATTTGTGTGCAAATGCACTGCAAAATAAGCGGTTTTGTGAAAAGTGTATTCGTGCTGCAAATTAAGTGTTTATGACATAGGAATGTGAGAAGCCACATCAAAAGTGACACGCATGTTACAATGTAACAACTTGATGTCACAACAGTGATAGAGCTTTGGTTGGCACAGTCTGATAGACCTAATTTTAAAATCATGACACAAGGGCGCCTGGGTGGCTCAGTTGTTAAGCATCTGCCTTCGGCTCAGGTCATGATCCCGAGGTCCTGGGATCAAGCCCTGCGTCGGGCTCTCTGCTCAGCGGGGAGCCTGCTCCTCCCTCTCCCACTCCCCCTGCTTGTGTTCCCTGTCTCTCTGTGTCTCTCTCCGTCAAATAAATAAATAAACTCTTAAAAAATAAATAAATAAAAAATTTTAAAATCATGACACAAGCCAGAAACACTAACATATATATTAGAAGATACTATTACTTTCTGAAATTATACATTTTTAATCTAAAGAGCAAGTAATTTTCAAACAGTGAAGAAGGGCCGTTACTCCACAGAAGGACTTACATCACCTTATGTAATGGGTGCGCGTGCGCACTTCTCGCCTCTTCTCCTCTGCAACACAGGCTCCAGGAGAAGGAGGATTAGTTCCCTAACACCTGGAACAGTGGCTGGCATGTAGGAAGTGTTTAAAAAGTATTTGTTGAATGAATTCCAATTTTTTTCAGTCCCCAACTCATGCCCCCCATAAAGTATAATTATGTTCTCAAGAGGCCCAAGGGTGTTGACTCACAGCAGGCCTTGCATTTACTTCAGGGCCTCTGAAGTCATGTGCTCAAGTCCAATCTTTAGAGCCAAACCTTTCCATTCATCAGTAAAAGGCCAAATCCAGTTGAACCAGTCCGATTATCACGTGTAATCTAAACATGGATGAAACATGATGTATCTCTGGACTTGTTCCAAGGGGGCGGGGGGGCCCTGCCTTTACGAAACTATTCCCCAACCTTCTTACTGCTTTCTATACTCAGAGTCATCACCTCTGGAATGTTCTTCTCCCTTATTCTTCCCCTACCTTCCAGGGTGAGGGTGACTTCCTCAAGAGAGCCTGCCCTGTCCCGTTAATCACTCACAGCGCTCAGTGCTCTTCCTTCATAGAAGTCACCACACTTCACAGTGACCTCGTGTGTGTCTTCCGGCTACATGTTACACCCCACACGGGCAGACACGGTGCCTGTCTGTGCCACGCTGGGCTCCTTCCTGCGACAGCACCTTACACGCACGTGCAGGTGCTCCTAAGCGTTTACAGACTGGACTGAATGAATCCAGTGGTTCTCAATGTGAAGCCCAATAAACACTAACAGCAGAAAGAGGAACTGGGCATTCCTGGCCCTAATAGGTCCATAAATGGAGAGGACAGTCACATGAGGGGGCTGCCATAGGCTTTTTTAATTAAAAAAAAAAAAACTTTTGTGATAAAATATTCTATCGTCTTTTAACCAGGGAAACAGGGAAGAGCTCTGTTCTTTAAAAAACGGTCAAAAGCAAAGAGAGAGATTGGCTCACACAGGAGATACGTAGACTAGAGAGAGAGAACTTCAAAACTGGGGGTGGTTTATAGTAGTGAAAAGAGTATAATGAAATAGATCTGGGCTCCTGATCCCTCTGCTTATTCGCTAAACATTCTAAATTGTTTAATGTGTCTGGGCCTCAGTTTCTTCATCTGTAAAATGGGGGAAACAGAATCTACTCATGGAGCACTACAAAAACAGAATGAAATATCAACTACAGCGTACTCTGTAAGCAACGAGGTGTCCTACCAACACGAGTTAGGCAAAGCGAAAAGCATCGCTGGGCTGAAACCCAGTCTTCGGCCAAAGAACCCCCTATGCTTTCCAGAAAGAACAAGAAACAAAGAATCAGGAGGGTAATCTTTTTTGTTTATATCTCAGTGCCTCTCACAGAGAAGCATTTTATGCCATCACCATCATCCTTCTTATAAAACCACTCGGCCACACGAGAAGAGCGATCCAGCTGGCCTTTCCCCTCCTCGTCCCAATAAGCTGCCTCAATGGGCCTAATGACCTATTTTCCATCTCTTTCTTCACTTTTTCCTCCTAATTCTGGAACAGGCTCTATTTTTCTACCAACTCCCAGAGTTCACAATTCATAAACAGAAATGTCAGGGGTCCACTGAGTCTCCACTCTGGTGATGGCTTGTGGCGTCTCCCGAGTCAGAGGCTTTCCACTGAGCTACAGTACAAAGACCTCAGAGAGGTCGCCTCCGACTGTTCAGTATGTCGGTATTTACAACACATGGTGAACTCATCCATGACACTCTCTCCTGATGACAGAACGACAGCAAAGCAGTGAACACACAGAGAGCGTGGGACCTCTGTGCGTCGGGAGCCCTGGAGATCAGGGCGGTGGGGTGAGAGAGAGCACGTGGAAAGGAGTTGCTGAGGATCCCGAAGACAAAGTCCTGATTCCTGCATTTTTGCCTAGGGCTCACCCACACACAGATGCAATGCACAGACGCACAGCCAAGGAGTGGGAGTGAAGAAAGGGTCTGGGGATTATTGGGTGGGAGAGAAGGGGGGCTCACAGAGGTATGGGAAGTGATGGGCTGGGCTGGGAAACAATGGCGTGATGGGAACTAGACGGGGCAGGGAAGACGGCAAAGAAGAAAAACGACAGAGTCCAGATGCCAACGTGACTGGTGCTCATGTCATAAAGTATCGCTTTCTGTATCGAGCTGCTAAAATACCAGCTTGTTACTTCTCCGTAAGAAGAGAACTGCTTGCTATCTTGAGCAAAGACAGACTTGCAAAGGCAGCACGGAGCAACAGCTGAATGCTTAGGCTTGAGTTTTAAAGACATGAATTTGAATCTCCAATCTATCAGATATTAACTGTGTGGCTTCAGAGAAATTCCTTAACCTCTCTGTTTCCTCATCTGTCCGACGGTACCGACCCTTATGGGGTTTCTGTGGGTGTAAAGCGTGACCATATATATATAAATAGCTTTCCACGGTGCCAGCCACATATCAGGGTTCAAGAACTGTCACCTGCTGTTACATTTTCCTAAACACAAGAGCCCTGTTAAAGTCCTTCCCTTCAAGCTCCAGCATTCCCTGGAGTTTGAGGTCCAGAGCACTCATAAATATTCGGCTCTACAATTCTATCTGCTTGTCAATAGAAATACCTTTTTTTACTTAAGTGAAAGTCTGGCTCTTCTGACTCAGGTTGTTTGGCAGGCACGAGGGAGGGGGAAAGGAGAAGGAAGGCAGAGGAGTGTGAAGGTGAACAGGAATGGGATTCACAGCACACCTCGCAGCACACTCACCGAGTCTGGGTCTCGCTGCTGTTCAAGGAAGGCTGAGAATTCCACCAGGCGAAGTTTGGTTGTGCCAATGGAGCGGCCCTGCCAGGCAGGGACTGAGGGGGCTGGGGCTGATGCAGGCTCGAACCCTGAAAGACCAATCATCACCTTTAAAGCAGGCCCCGTGCCTCCCCTCGGGCCTGAGGCCAGTGCTGGGGCCGGGCCCTGCAAAATGGCTGCCCCCCTCCACCAGAGTCCAGGGGCAGAATGAAGTCAAGCGGTGGGTGGATTCTGGCCAAGGACCCAGAGGCACAACACTAGGAGGCTCCTCACAATGTCAACTTTGGCCCAGGTTAAGGGCCGGGGCACACCCCATCCCGGACAAGGGGCCGGCTGGGGTCCAAGGCCAGAGTGGCTGAAGAGCCTGAAGTGAATTCTGCAAGGATCCCCTGAGAAACCTCTTGTGTTTGCCCATCTCCTTCCTTAAGACTGTGGTCACCAGCACTACAGAATTACTCAGAATGCTCCGTGACACTGGAACAGAGCACAACATGTGAATGCATGTCCTTTCGGGGGACTCAATAACAGATAGCAGTTCAACGGAGTGACCCCACGTGCACACGTGTGGGGGGGCAGCGCAGGTGGGCTGGCCAGATTCCGGGTTGCTAGTCGAGGCTTCCCTGGAAGCTCTTCGTTAAAGAGAGGGTACGAGGAACTGAAACCTACTTATATAATAAAGGCTGGCTAATCCCCTATCTGCCCTCAAGATCTGAACTGTCCAATTCAGCCTGTTTATGATGAGGAAGGAACCACAGCTACTTCCCCTTCCATGGGTGACCAGGGTCCTTGGTGAAAGTGATCAGGCTTCCCTTTCCTTTTTTTCAGTTTTTTTTTTTTTAATTGAGATATAATTAACATATCCAAATCCTTTTTCCTCCCCTTTTTAAGTAAATTCTATGCCCAATGTGGGACTCGAACTCACGACCCCAAGAACAAGAGTGGCATGCTCTATGGACTGAGCCAGCTGGGCGCGGCTGGCTTCCCTTTCCTTTAAAAACCCATCTGAAGAACTCCTGGGAGCTGGCTAGGGGCACTGAACACATCTGTGACCCTTCTGAGTTCCAGGCTTAAGGAGAGTAGGGACGAGGAGGGGGCACTCAAGGCACTGCAAGTACAAGGGATAGGCCGCTGTGGAGCAAAGCGACGGGCCCAGCCACCAGCTGCGCAGGATGGTCCTCCGAGGGGGACTCCCTTGGAGACTCACCTGGAATGGGGGCTGTGACTGCTGGCTGGATGGGGTAGGCCTGTTGCACGAAGGGCTTGACGCTGGGGAGGGAGGGGTGGAGAGTCAGAAGTCAAGACTATAGCAGTGGCTACTCCCCAGGTTTGGCCTTGGCCTCCCAGGGCTAGGGGCCCAACCTGCACCCCGCCCCACCCCCATAAGGTTCCCTGCCTGCAGGTGCTGACACAGCCCAGGCAGAGCTCTGCCAAGACAGAGACAGTTACCCTCTCTGCTTGAGAGGGGCCAGCAGGTGCTGGGGACCAAACCATCGGGCCTCACACCACTTCAGCGGGACGAGCTGGAGAGACATCAGCCTGATTCCCGTATGCTGTGACATCTCATCAAACCTCTCTTCTCGTCCCTGTGGTGACCGAGGTCAGGGGTCACCGTTCCCAGGCAAGGTTTGGGACATGCTTCGGGCTCTCCTTCTCTTGGCCGAACAGCTTCAGTTCTTTTGAGAACAGGTGGGCAGGACTTCCTTTCTGCTTTTATCTCCAGATGATCCTCAGCTTCCCTTTGCCCTCAAAGCACCAGCAGGACTGTCGATTAGCTGCCCTCACCCCCCAGGAAAGCCAGGATGCGCCGGGCTCTAGGAGCGCCTCCACTGTCCTCTCTCAGACAGGGGCTTCTCAGGAAGCCCTCCAAAGCCACGAAGGCCTGGGGCCCTTCTCCCTGTTCCCAGCTGGATGAGCACTAACACTTAAGGCAGCAGTGAGCCGTTTATGCCTCTCCTAGACCAACTCGAGTCTCTCTCCTGCTACTGGCCTCAGTGGACGATGGGAGATGACTTTGGGGATCTCAGATTCAATCTCTTTTCTCCCACAAGCCCCCAGGCAGTCTGGTCCTGGGCAAACGCCACCCAGGCGGTGCTGTGACCAGACCCTTGTTGTGACGGCTAGCCCCTCCCCAGACTTACTCTTGCGAGGATCCTGGCTGCCCTGTTTGTATCATTCCTGGCCAGAACTGGAAGGCAAAAGGCAAGAGGCATCAGGGTTATGAGTTCACACAAAAGCACTGTTCAGGACATCTACACATTGCAACCCCTGCTAAAGACAGTGGGCTCAGATCGTCCGTCCGCTGCTGAGTGACCCTCTCTAGATGCGGATGTGGTTACCAATGTGCACCAGAGAGCAACCTGCATCCTTGGCTTAGCAGCCCAGACTCCCCGGAGCTCCTCCTCCAGATAGTCGCCCTGAGGGCAGGGACCAGACAGCAGCTCTTCCGTGTTCTCCTGACACCTACCCGAGATCTGGGCACATGACAGGGGGCTCACAAATATTTCATCCGGCTGCTTTATCCATGCACCCACCTACCCATCCTCCTCTTCCTCCCTCCATTCACAAATGCTCCCTGTGTGACATTCTGCCTCCTCAGCTCACAGCACCACGGGCCCGGCCAGGAGAGGACAAAGCTCTGAACCAGAGGCCAAGAGCTCCGAGAAGCAATGCAGACACCCCCTTTGCTGTGCGCCTCCCTGAGGCTTCTGGTGCCTGGCACCCCCTGGGGACAGGCAGCCTGTGTAGAAGGGGTTGCAGAGTGAGTCACAAGGCCCTGGGTTTGAGTCCTGATGGCACTAGCCATGATCACATTACCTAACTCGCTTTGTTACTCACTAACCTCATCATCTGCAAGACGGCAATAACAATGAGAGGCATTTAAGATTATTGTGAAGATGAATGAGATTATAACATTAACTTCTCAGCCCTTGGTAGACGCAAACTTGAAAACGGTAATAGAATACTTTGCTCCTTTAAGGGTTAGTTCCCTTAAAGGGACCTTGAGGCACAGGAAAAGAGAGCAAGGGCCAGAAAAAAAAAAAAAAAAAAAAAAAGCAGAAGAAGCAGATCACAACCCAGAAGGGCACCAGCAAAGTGATACCTAATTCCATGTCTGCTGGGGCCCAGGATCCCAGCCTCTAGCTTTCTCTCCCCGCCCCCTCCCTCTCACCACTGTGCACCTGGCATCATCAGCTGACCACAGGTGGTCCTCCCCGCCCTCACACCAGGCCCAAGAACAAGCACCAGGTGGATGGCTTCACGCCGGCCCCTCACCTGTAGGGGCCACCCCTACCGGATGGGCTTGTGACTTACCCCCGGCGCCCCCGGGAAGGCGGGGCGTGGAATCCCAGGCAGCCCCAGCTTGTTGTGAATGGCGGTGGCCGAGACGATCTGTGCCGACGACATGGCAGCCATGTGCTGCAGGGCCTTATCCTTGGCCGTCTGATCCTTGAAGGTGACAGTGACACACAGACTTAATACGTAACACACAGCTACCAGGCAGCTTCAACAGGCACAGCCACGAGCACATGGACTAAATACAGAGCCACAGAAGAGGCCGGAGAAGCAAACATGCACGGATAAATAAACACAGCCAAAAGGCTAAAACACACTCAACCTACCGTAACTCTGAACCTTTAGGGAGACTACCAGTGGCAAGATTTTTTTTTAAAAAATGTTTTAATCCATTTTTCAAAAGAATGGGAAGCCTATGAGAAGAGTGGACAATGTATTTATTTTTCCAGCTTCCAAAGGGAGGTTTCTCCAATTACTTAACACACTCAAGGAAAGGGGGAAAAAAACCAAAAGGCCCTGCACTGAAGCATACAGATGGGAAGAGGGAGAGAGGAGAAGGGGGTGGTGGATCTGGGGTAGGACCGTCCACAGGGTGTGGGCAGGCCCCATCTGTGGGCGCTGTCACGGGGCCACAGTCCCAGGAGCTGCTGGAGGCATGCGAGGCCTGGGAGCCCTGGCAGACACCTGGTGGGGAGGCTCAGAAGCAGCAGGGCGGGTGGGGGGCCATGACGGGGCCAAGCAGCATGCTGGCGGGGGCGCATGCTTTCTCAGGTACCCCCACCATGGAGGTCTAAGGCTACACGGGTTCTCTCTATAGCCAAGGACACAGGGGACGCTACTCGGCAAGTGGTTTCTCCCTTTCCTAAATGGGTCTTTTCTAGAAAAGCCAAGGCTGGTAACACAAAGCTAGCCAAAAAGTCTGCCAAGCACAGCTAAAATACAGAATACTCAATGTGGTGAAAATACTTACCATGCTTGTTACCTGGATACAACAATAAACAGTTTGTTAAAAGAATTGCGGACAAAGGGAGAGGTATTTTTCTTCTTCACTTAAAAAATACACATATTTACACAAACACACAATGTGGGGTACATAGAATGCATAGGACTCTGGGTCTTTTTCACATTTTAACAGGAATGTATGACCCAGATAACCATCTAGAAAGGCAATTACCAACCAGTCCACCCATTTCAAAAACTACTCCCAGCCCCTTCGAGCTGGTTCTGTGGCTTCCCCGGTGTAGATGGAGAAACGGTCAGCCCCCAGGTGTGTGACAGATCCTGATGGTGCAGGCAGAGATTCATGCGTGGTAAACATGTCAAGGTGCCTGGCTGCTCACGGAAGGTCTATACAATCTCTACCAGGCCAGACTCCATCGGAACAGGAACAAAATGGTGGCACCAAAGCAAAGAGAGTGGCCGCCACAGCTACCACTCAGAGTCAGTGCGTGAAGGTCAAGGGAAAGTTCAGGCTAAGACACAGCTGGGAGTTGGCTTCAATGTGTGCGGATTTACCCAAAGGTGACTCATAAGCATCCTGAGGTACCAGAGGCTGGGCCGAAGGGAGAAGTTGGAAAAAAAAAAAAAAAATCCAAGCCTACAAAATAACTACTAGGGGCTTCTAAAAAAGATCAAGTTAGGTGCTCCCAAGGTAGAAACACCACTTGGTCCCATAACTGCCAGGAACACCATGTGAATTTTCAAAAAGCTTACATTACCTCTTGGAAAAGAGCCTAACACTTGCATAGAACTGTACATTTTATCCATTTCTCTGGCTCTCAACTGACAAAGTAATGGGCCTCATGTAACAGCTTTTGGGGGTTGTCCGTGGTCATTGGGATCGTCTTGAAGGGCACATGCTGCGGCTTAAGAACAGGGTGAAGTCCCAGGAAGCCTGCAGGATCCCTCGTCCCCAACAGAATGGCTCCAGGCGCTAGTGTGGGGCTTTGCTGCCTCGGGTCAGACGGCATTCCTTGAGCTGAGCCCCCATTTGCTCATCTGAATGCTCTACCTAAAGCTAGCTTCCTCTGTTGAAGTTTTTGCTTTTGCTTTTTTTTTTTTTTTAAACGAGCTGAATCATTTCAGATACTGAGATGCCCAAAAAAGACAAATCTTGATGTCAGTGGAATAAACTGACTAGGTGTGCAAATGCCCTAAAGCCAAACAGAACCTGACACACACAGATCTCAGCGCCAGTCAATCTACTCCTCGCTGGTCTTGTGGTTGCACCTGCCACCTGCCTCATCATCCCCGCAGAGGGGGACCCAGGCTAATGAACAGAAAACCCAGCTCCAGTCCCACGACACCCTTCTCTGTCAGGAGTGCCTTGACATCAATACAAACTCACCGAGGGGTTCTTTTTGGATCCAGCACCTTGTACTCCAGCCTCCAAGCCACCTAACCCCTAATGAGAGGTTATAAACGCCCTCAGATGACTTCTGAGCGAACGTAACATTACAGGTATAACCACAGGCGCCGTCCACCACAAGGAACAAGCCTTACCACTTTGCCAGGGCCCAGGCTCGGGGAGCTGGGACAGTGACAGCCCAGTCTTCTTGCTGGTCTGGCTGATGCAAATTGAGGAATAACTAGGAAAAGAGCTGTGGGCTTGGCTCTATTCCAGAAGTCCATCAGGGGCCTCCATGTTCATGAAACACTGATGGCGGGGGTGACCCGGCTCCCCCAGACACAGTGTCTGTGCACCCTCAGGGGGAGGGACTCAAGAATCCAAAGTCGGGGTCCGAATGGAAAGGAGTCCCCCACATCTCCAAAGCCTGCTTTTATTCTCTCAGAGGTGCTGGAGATGCTCCCCTATGCTAGGCTGATGGAAAAGTTCTTGAAGATGCTCACGAAAGTTTGATACTTTTTTTTTTTCTTTTCAAACAAGGAAATCAATCAACGAGGAAAGGAGAAAAGTCACCAGCTTTGCTCTTTAGGTCACCCAGCTTCGGGACAGGGCCATTTCCTTTTGCTAAATAAAGTCAGGTCGGACTCTTATGACCCAGGAGGTACCTGAATGAAACAGATACTCAAAACCAGGAGAGCAAATTAGTCACTCCTGTCTCCCCAACATGCTCCATCCCCGTAAAGGGGAGTCTGGAGATGCAGCTCCACACCTGCCTAGGCCTGATGTTAATGGGCTTCATTACCTTGGGTTAGTCATTTAACCCTCTAACTTTCTTCATCTATGAAATAAAGGGTTGCATTTGATGCCCTAAAGCCCTCTGGCTCTGAAAGTATCTGCTGCTACGAGTGTGCATTCCATTTATAAGCAAATACATCTTAATAAACATAGCCCGAAAGAACTGGTGAAAAGACAGCAAGATGTTAAAATTTGGGCAGCTCTTGGCTGTCTATCCTAACAGAGAGAAAGCCAAGTGTGGAGAGGAAATTTTATCTCAAGTAGAGGTTCTTTCTGCACTTGACCTAGCTATCTGAGAATAGGCAATTTTATGCAAATGGACTAAAACGTCTATACCCATGATTTCCTACCTTTTGAAGTGGAGACACTCTACCTTCTCATTTAATAACATCTCCCCCTTTATCTAAAATACATATTTGAAAATTAAAAAGATTAAAATTTTTTGTTTAAAATCTAAAGCAACGCTGCAAGTAAGGCCTGCCGGTGATATCTCGAGATCGGAACCCAGAGCCTCGCTGTAGACCCACTTAATCTGAAATGGGAGAACGGAAGGATGCCAAGCTGAGAGACTTCAACGGAAGGGCCTCTAAATTGTCATTTTCAGCCCAGAGATATATGCCTGGCTTTGAAGAAATTATAACTCTAAGTGTCAGACCCGAGGAGATTGCTTCTCTGTGTCTCTCTGGTCTGAGATGCTGGTCTTTGAGACATTGCACTCCATTCTTGCTGCTCACCCCAGAATCAAGGGGGAAGGGAAGTAGTTGTTAATCTACCCAAATAACTGATGCTAAGGTAAATTTAAAAATCTAGGCTGCATTTGTACACCAGAATAATTTTATTCTAAGAGGTTTTCACACCAACACTTCTGAAATGCGGATGAGATTTACAAAGGTTGAGCACACTGTCTTATCTTGAAAAACTGTTATGAAGTCAATACTGAGTTACCGCCTATGATGTCTTAGATTACGGGAAATACTCTCAGTGTGTGTATGTCTCTACACAAGCATGCATGAACAAGAACGCTGTGTCCTAGCAAAAAGCCTGGACAACTTCACACGGAGTCCTCAATACTGATCTGAAGTCCCTCCATCCCTAAGATGACAAAGAAAGAGGCCACAAAAAGCTGAATGTTTGGCGAGTGGGGAAAGAAAAGGCAAATCTCCCTTTTACAACAGAACTCTAACTCAAGCCCATGACCTGAAATGTGGAAAAATATTTATGGGGCAGGAAACATGGGGGGTTGCTAAGAACAAATGGCCCGTCTGACCTGAGGACGAAGCTGATAAAGCACTGTACCTAGGGACGCAGGTCTCAGCGCCCACTTGCCTTTCTTCCCTGTCCAATTTCTGGCACGCCATGCTGTCAATGGCCTCCCCACCTCAGCCACACGGGGTCCAGCAGGCTGTGTCACGCATAAACTCCTCAGCCCGAAACCTTTCAAATGGTTATTGTCACTTAGTAAACAGGCTTTCATATTTCATGAAGCAGAGCACGGCGGCTGCTACGCCTCTGGGCTCCGCAGACTCCTCCTCGTTACCGTTTAAATGTGCACCATGTTTGGGAAGTGTTTACACGGAATATACGTGACAGGAAGGCAGCCATATCAGAAATGCACATGGCTGGAGCAGTGTGGGTCTCAAACTCCAGGACATTTTATGAAATCAGCCTCCAGACTGGACGGGAGTCTTATTCCCACCTCCCTCTGCCTCCTCGGCCTTTGATTATCCCGAGGAATCAACTATCTCATCATCTTCCGGCACTAACCATCAACAAATTTTAAAGAGAATATTAAAAGGTTCATGAGCTTGCGTGTACCATATTATAGCTGTTACATCTGGAATGTTAATGAACAGCAAACTACATCAACATACTCCAAAAAGCTTGCTCAGGAGCCATCAATTTAACACGTAAAGACTCCAGTCTACTTTATTTATGGGGAAGTCCACCAATACATCAGGAAAAATACGTAACGTTGAAAAAAAGACTATGGATTCAAAAACTCTGGATAGCC